ACAATCAATCCACTGCATTAATTCAATAACTTGGGAATATTCCAGTACACCTGATTTTGGAGAAAACAAAAAATAGCATGTAATATGAACTATGGACCATATATCCTTCTGTTATACTATATTTTGTATGACAACTTTGTTTCTTCCTACGTTATTCAAAACATACTCAGCTGGAATCTAAAATCACTTTAGATTTTAGAGCTACATCTGGAAGTCGATCGAGCTTATAACTGCATAAGAAGATGGGGCAATAGGATAGCACCACAATATGATAAGAAGCACCCCTCAATCGGTAAAAGAGCTTGACGGCAAAATTCATTCCTAATCTAAAAGAAAAGAATACTAACAAACCTAGTGAAATTTTATAAATGGGGTATGAGGAGTATAGTTGTACGCAATGGGGTATGGGGAGAATAGTGGTACGCAGACCTTAACCCTCCCTTATAAGGGTAGAGAGGTAATTTTCGGTAGATCTTCGGTTCAGGAACGAAAAAGGGAGCAATAAACAGACAATAGTAACAAAAATGTAACATGACAAGAAAGCAAATGGCCATATAATAACAAAGATTTATAAATAGAAAATATAAAAATAATGTCAATACTATCGAAAAGGATGACACACCGTATATCAACAAGGAACTAAGATAATCTAAAAAGAAAAGAGACAGAAAGAAATCATCCATACTAGTATTCATGTCCCGTCCATCACAAAGCTGTCTGATTTGAGGAGAAACTAAAAAATAGCCAAATTTACAAGTGGTCATTCAAAAATAGCCATACTTTCAAAAGGTAATCGAAATTTAGTCACTTTTCATGTAAAGATAAATTTGAATGAAACCACTGTTCAAAATCCGGAAAATACTCCAACATAATATACTGGAATTCCAACATATTATACTGGAGTTCCAGCATAAGTATACTGGAACTCCAGCGTAATATACTGGAGTTCCAGCATAATATACTGGACTTCCAGTATATTATACCGGTCCAGCGTAATATGCTGGAAGTTCATACACAGGTGCACCGATCTCTAGTATACTATGCTCGAATTTTCCGTGTTGCAGCAAAATAGTGGCTATTTTTCAATGAGTTTACAAACGCTGGCTATTTTTGAATGACCAGTCCAAAAATTTTCTAGCCCATGCTATTTTTACGCTGATTTGGTATAGAAAGACCAAGGGGCTAAGGGAAAGCAAGCCCATATATAGGATTTTTGCTCGAAAAGCCCAATCTACTCCACTATTTGAAGGCCCATTCGAATTGACATAATTAGTTATGCTATATTATAAATTTATTTATTTTTACTAGAGAAGTTATCACTTATTTATATTTGGTATATAAATTTATCAATTATTTACAAATTAATAAAAATTGAGTATCCTTTAATAGTAGGGCATTTAATTGGTAATAACCTATACACACGCCTACAATTACCCACCCTACCAACATCGCTCATCTACCCATCCATTTGCTTAAACAACTAGTGAAGTTGCTTAAACAACTCAATCAGTTATTTAAGAAACTCATTTAGTTATTTAAACAAATCAATCATTCATTTAAACAACTACTGAAGTTATTTAAACAACTCAATCAGTTGCTTAAATATCTACTAAAGTTGCTTAAATGACTTAATTAGTTATTGAATTTAATTATTTTTTGACTTCATATGTATGTGCTTTGTGCGTACTTTTTTTTAAAAAACAAATATTATTGTTACGCGCTAATCACGGATTTTAAAATATAACGAATAGCGGGAAGGAGTCTCGTTTGCAGGAATGTATATATTTTGCCAAAAAATACAGTAAGTTTTAGTAATTAGCAAAATATAAATAAAAGGCTCATTTATCTTGACTTCAAGTATTCAATAGGTGCTACCTCTAGTTTAGATATCGAAGTGAAAAGATTGACAAATTTTAAGGAGTAGCCTATGTATTCAGCCCAATTGAATAGTCAAAAAGTTACATTCTTAACCATAAATTCATGATTTTTTAAAGGATCTCTTCATCAATCATCACTATTATTCAGTTGTATTCCTTTGTCTTTAGGTCTGTTATAAAAGTATAACAAACGGTCTGTCAGAAACAAAAACAGAAAAAGAGGTTAAAAAAAATATACAGTAGTATATTCTTAAGATGCCACGTTTAATTATCTTGGCAAATGATCCGCGTATAGCTAAATAACAAGAAAATCCGATAAAAATAACAAGAGAACCACCAATTCATATAGTTTAGTCTATTAATTTTACTAAATTAATCCCCATGTAGAAATATATCGTGAGATTGCGACTTGTCGCCATACAAAAAAATCTCAAAATTTCTTTTTATCATTTTTGAACTATATATAGTAAGTATTCTTGATTGATATTTATTTCTACAAAGCCACAGACGACGTAGATTTTTTATGTTGCCCCTTTCATCTGGAAATTGCGCAATAAAGTGCTTTCATCCATCACTTTTTCTTTTTGCTTTTTTGTGATTGAGCAGCTTGAGTCTGTACAATGACAATCTTTAATTTGGCAAGCATTTCCCAGAAATATCATAGAAAATATCAAGAAGCTCATGGGTTTCTAGGATATTTGTACTGCTTAGAGCTCAAATTATCCATCGAAGTTTACATTGCCAAAAACATTTTTTTTTTGGGTAAGTAATTATTGCCAAAAACATTAAACTCCCATTTGGACATAGATTTTTTTTACTTTATTTCAAAAAAAAATTAAAAATATTATTTATTCAAAAAAAAACTGAAGAAAATTCAAGTTCCAAAAATTAATTTGGGCCAGTTTTTAGAAAATTTGTCTTCCACTCACAAAACCTTAATTTTATTTTCAAGTAAAATGCATGTCGAGACACAACTTAAACTTTCAAAAATTATTTTTCAACATTACTTACCCGAAAAACGGATAGAGTTGAATTTGTACGTAGTTCTAAGGATATGTGATACAGCTTAATACAAATCGTGAGAATAGATAGAAATATCAAATATGTATTGCAAAGAATGCAAAATAAACAAAATTGGAAAGAAAATAATTTTTATGACTAAGCAAGATGAATCAATTTATGAAACTTAAAAGAATAACTATTGAATATAGGAGAATATGGTGCTTCAATTACAATATAAGCAAAGAACTACCCTTTACAGAAATGTAGTCATCCTCTTTATAGTGGAGGATCCTACTTTTAGATATAATAAAAAATACATAGTGGGAGACCCATGATAAATCAGCTTTTCCATAATTCCTCCCAGGATTCTCTTCTCTAGTAGGATTGCAACGACTCTGGTCTATGAGATCGATATCGACTCGAGTTTTCGGTCTTGACTCGAGCTCGATTCTGACTCGGATCCCTATATTACTTCGGGGTCAGTGTTGGTCGGTCTCTGAGTCGTAAGTTCGATAATTTTACTTTGTATCATAGTTTGACTTGGATTCGAGCTTGATAATAACATCGAGCTCGACATTGATTGGTCCTTTGGGCTCGAATCTTGGTGACCTGATTTCGGACCTCAACCAGATACTATGAAGACGCTTCTCCGATCCAATATATTACTATTTAAACCAGTTCGTATGAAGTACTAACCGGTTTTTACCGTATACAGATAGTCCCCTCATTTCTCGGGAAGGATGTAGCAAAAAACGACATGATTTCACAATGGCTCGATCAGATATAAGTCGATATTTGCATCGAGCCCGACCATGACGTACGTGATAGTTGTCTGTCGATTTAGCTTCCCAAGGCATTTAATGCATGTCAGAAGATGGTCGGCCACCGCTGATATTGAACCCCATTTTTTCAATCTATAACTAGCCTTTCCTTTCACCATTTATCATTTTTACGTATTCAATCTTCCAAATTTTAAAAGTTCCTTTTCGTCTCTTCTGAGCTCATTCGTAGATCTGTGATTCTTTTCTGCAAAATTCTTCTTAAAAACCACCTAATCTTTATCACCTTCTTTAAATCCAAAGATGGTGAAGACATCAAAAACAGTCCCCCAAAAAGGAAAAGCTTCTTCTTTCCAATCTGCCACCGACAAAACACCGGTGGATCCACGGCCTGAGGAGTACGTTCCGGCGGCGTGTGTTCTTACCTCCGATTTCAAACTCGATAAAAGTTCGTCTGTTCCCGACCGATGTGAACCCGTATCGAGATATATTTGTTCGATAACCGGGGGGTATATCGAGCAGATAAAAAAAGAAGTGGTAGTACCGTCTCCCGAAGAGGATATTACTAGTCACGTGAAAGAGTTTTTAAGTATGTACACTTACCCTTTCATGTTAGGTCCCCTCGATCCTGTTATCATAGATTTTTGTCTTAAATACATAATAACTCTAGGCCAGATTCATCCTTCTTTTTGGCGGATCGTTATTTTGATCCGATACTTCGTGAACAAAATCGAGGGGATGACTTTCACCCTCGATCATCTCATCCGATTGTACCGTCCTCGCCTTTTTTGAGGAGGGTTAATAAAACTTTAGCGTCGAGCTACCAAGGCTCTGTTCTCGAGCATAGACGAGGATATGGATCGAGGCTGGATGGGCAGGTTCGTTTGAGTAAGGACTTCGGACCTAATTCCGACTGAAAAGATACCTTTTTTCGAGGAGTGGAACATGAAGCGTAAGTGTAATTCTGTTATTATCTCCTACTATTTTGCCTTTTCATTTCTTTTCTCACCGATATCCCCCTTTTTGTGATGCAGCGGTTCCCTCGATGCCCGGCGCAGTTCCCGATATCAAGAATTGGGTACGGGATCTGGCTTCGACCTCCACATACGCAGAACGCTCATGGCGTGACTTGTCAAAGGGCCGATGGGAGGCCAAGAATCATGGTAAGCCCTTTTCTCGTATTTCGAACGAGATGCTTTCCATATACTTTTAATAATTTTTTCCATATGTAGGTGTGGGCAAAAAAGCGATTTTGAGGCCNTATATAATATATTAAAAAAAAAAGATATTTTAACTAATCAAGTCTCAGCCATAACATTTTACAACTTAAAAAATGGTTTTGAAAGCCACGTTGTGATTGATGACAAGAAAGATAACATGTTATGGAATAGTTTTGTTTAAAAAATAAAAAATAAAAAGGGAAAAAAATCTGCATTAATTAAGTTTCACAAAGAAACAAAAGCACCAGACCCCACATCTAAGGCAAATTCAACCTTTTACATGTTGCTCTCACCTACTACCACCACAAAGCCACCGCCCTCCACCCATCTGCACCAAAATTCCTCAGCCATGGCCATCAACCAGTAGTGATTTTCTTTTCCCTTTTTCTATTTTCTTACTCTTTGTCATAGATTTCCTTTCAGTCTTCTGTTTCTCCTTCTCAAACCCTCAAGAAAGAAAATGACCTCCTTAAAGAGAACCCTTTCAGGATGTAGTTCTTCCAAGATTTCTAAGAAACAACACCTTGATCGGCACTCGAGATATTCTCTGGAACCAGTCGAACTATAATGGAAGAATGTGGAATGGATTTCTTGCCGACTGATGGAGAAAAGGCATGTGAAATTTTGAAGAACATCATATCTCTCCGGTGGGAATCTTTTGTGAAAAATCCAGGGGGTTATGTTAAAGAAATTGTGCTTGAATTCTATGAGTTCATTGACAAAGAGGAGAACTTCAACAGTGCGAGGTAAAGTTATTAATTTTAACTCTGAAGTTTTGAATGAAGGAAAATAAGAGGAAAAATGCATTCGTTCCCGAAGATTCAAAATCGAAGAAGAGGACGGCTCGTAAGCTGAATAAGAATACCATTCCTTGGAATCAGTTCTGCGTCTAAGGGATGATGACGAAAAAGAAAAAGAAGAGGACGACAGGTCCGTGCCGGCGACTCAAATGAAAAAAAAGCACCGATGCCCTAAAGGCAGCTGAATCGATGGTGACTCATAAGGCTCTGCCTCGAACCGAAGAGATATCGGAGGAAGGTTCAGGCAAAGTCCCCGAGTCATTAGAGATCGAGGATGCTTCCTACCGAAGTCAACAAACGGTGGGTACATCGGAAGGGGCCGGTCCTGAAGCTCTCCGAACTGAAGAGAACGCTCCAAGCGAGTCGCCTGGGGCAATAGTAATCGGAGATTCGCCCACTCTCCCTGTCTTTTCCAAAGGGGTTATTCGGGAAGCCCAAGCTTTGGAGGCCCTCGAGATGAGCCGGTCTTATAAAGGGGAGGACCCTTTCCGTGATCTGTTTACCGGGGTCGAGGACGCTGCTGGCCCTAGAAATGTGTCGGGCCTTCTTTGTGAAGTGCAGCTAGCTCTGAATCGGGTAAGCTCTTAATTTTCTTTGTTGATATTATTTTTCATATTTTGCTGTTCTTTTCTAACTTCTTTTCTTCCTTCTTCGCAGGCCGTGGCGGTTCATCGAGAAGCATGTTCTTGGTCTCGAGCTGAGCTGCATCGATTCGCGACCGATCTTCAACGGGTCACGGAGGAGAGAAACTCCTTAAACTCCTTTTAGGGCAAAGGGGAGAGGGAATCAAAAACCTCCGAGCTGAGTTGGCTAAGGTTCATCAAGATCAGACCGATCTGTTTGAGCAGGCAATGATACTTTTAAAAGCCTATGGGTTCGATACCGAAACGATGGCTAATTTTTCGGTCTCACAGCTGCAGCAGAAAATTGAGATGATCGGAAAACTCCGTGAGAAGGTTGATGTGATAAAAGCAGAGTCCTTGAAGTGGAAAGAAAATATGGACCGCTTTGCTGCAGAGAAAGAGGCTGCTCGATCTCAATTCTCATCGGCTGAAAACCAGCTTCAAAATATGAAGGAGAAAAGCTCGGTTCAAGTAAGAAGAATAGAGGAGCTCGAGGCTCGGTTGGCCTCTGAACTCGCTAAGGCCGAATCCGACGCCGAAAAGGCAAAGGCCGATGCGGATGCATTCGTGGTTGTTTACCGGGCTGATGTTGAAGCTGCTCAGGTACAAACAAGAGAGGCAGTCGAGATCGCCAACACTCGAGCGCATTGGGTTGCTGAGCTTGCTAAGTGCCGATCTCGGAGGGAGACCCTCGAGGAGATCCATGCTCGAGGTTTCGACCTCACTGAAGAGATAAAAAGGGCTAAAGAGCTCGAAGCCGATGCTGAAGCCTTGGTTTCCGATGATGACGATGATAATGATGATGATGATGGGAGCAAGAGAGGGTCCGAGAGCGGGGAGGAGCCCGATGGAGAAGAGACCGCCCCGGGGATAACCAAGAAACTTAGTCCCTTAATTTCTATTTCGGATGTTGCAAGCAATCATGTAAATAATCTTGTAGATATATATAAATATCTTTTCTTTTCCCGTCTTGCCTCTGTTTTATTTTTTGTTTTGTGAATATTTCATTTTACTCATGCCTTATGAATGTTTTCATAAGGCTTTAGGCAATTTGATCGAATTCGGACTTTGTAGCTTTTATATATGAGTGAGCGTTTTCGAACTCGAAGTAATGTAGCCCGAAGGCTTAGTGATTTTGAACTTGTAGCCCGTAGGCTTAATAGTCGAGTGAGTGATTTCGAACTCGAAGTAATGTAGCCCGAAGGCTTAGTGATTTTGAACTTGTAGCCCGTAGGCTTAATAGTCGAGTGAGTGATTTCGAACTCGAAGTAATGTAGCCCGTAGGCTCAATAGTCGAGTGAGTGATTTCGAACTCGAAGTAATATAGTCCGTAGGCTTAGTATTCGAGTGAGTGATTTCAAACTCGAAGTAATGTATCCCGTAGGCTTACTAGTGGAGTGAATGATTTCGAACTCAAAGTAATGTGGCCCGTAGGCTTAATAGTCGAGTGAGTAATTTTCAAACTCGAAGTAATGTAGCCCGTAGGCTCAATAGTCGAGTGAGTGATTTCAAACTCGAAGTAATGTAGCCCGTAGGCTCAATAGTCGAGTGAGTGATTTCAAACTCGAAGTAATGTAGCCCGTAGGCTCAATAGTCGAGTGAGTAATTTCAAACTCGAAGTAATGTAGCCCGTAGGCTCAATAGTCGAGTGAGTGATTTCGAACTCGAAGTATTGTAGCCTGTAGGCTTAATGATTAAGTGAGTAATTTCTCGAACTCAAGATAAGAGTAGCCCATAGGCTTAGTATTCGTGTGAGTGATTTCAAACTCGACGTAATGTAGCCCGTAGGCTTAGTAGTCGAGTGAGTGATTTCGAACTCGAAGTAATGTAGCCCGTAGACTTAATGATTGAGTGAGTGATTTCTCGAACTCAAGATAAAAGTAGCCCGTAGGCTTAGTATTCGAGTGAGTGATTTCGAACTCGAAGTAATGTAGCTCGAAGGCTTAGTAGTCGAGTGAGTGAGTTCGAACTCGAAGTAATGTAGCCCATAGGCTTAATGATTGAGTGAGTGATTTCTCGAACTCAAGATAAGAGTAGCCCAAAGGCTTTAGTATTCGAGTGAGTGATTTCGAACTCGAAGTAATGTAGCCCGTAGGCTAAATGATTGAGTGAGAGATTTCTCGAACTCAAGATAAGAGTAGCCCATAGGCTTAGTATTCGAGTGAGTGCCTTGCTCGAACTCGAAGTAATGTAGCCCGTAGGCTTAATGATTGAGTGAGTGATTTCTCGAACTCAAGATAAGAGTAGCCCGTAGGCTTAATAATCGAGTGAGTGATTTCGAACTCGAAGTAATGTAGCCCGTAGGCTTAGTAGTCGAGTGAGTGATTTCGAACTCGAAGTAATGTAGCCCATAGGCTTAATGATTGATTGAGTGATTTCTCGAACTCAAGATAAGAGTAGCCCGTAGGCTTAGTATTCTAGTGATTGCCTTGCTCGAACTCGAAGTAATGTAGCCCGTAGGCTTAGTATTCTAGTGATTGCCTTGCTCGAACTCGAAGTAATGTAGCCCGAAGGCTTAATGATTGAGTGAGTGATTTTTCGAACTAAATATAAGAGTAGCCCGTAGGCTTAGTATTCGAGTGAGTGTCTTGCTCGAACTCGAAGTAATGTAGCCCGTAGGCTTAATGATTGAGTGACTGAACTCAAGAGAAAAGTAGCCCGAAAGCTTTAGTATTCGAGTGAGTGATTTCGAACTCGAAGTAATGTATCCCGTAGGCTTAATGATTGAGTGAGTGATTTCTCAAACTCAAGATAAGAGTAGCCCGTAGGCTTAGTATTCGAGTGAGTGCCTTGCTCGAACTCGAAGTAATGTAGCCCGTAGGCTTAATGATTGATTGAGTGATTTCTCGAACTCAAGATAAGAGTAGCCCGTAGGCTTAGTATTCGAGTGAGTGCCTTGCTCGAACTCGAAATAATATAGCCTGTAGGCTTAATGATTGAGTGAGTGAACTCAAGATAAGAGTAGCCCGAAGGCTTTAGTATTCGAGTAAGTGCCTTGCTCGAACTCGAAGTAATGTAGCATGTAGGCTTAATAGTTGAGTGGCAGTCCCCAATTTGTGAGGTAATGGTCGGTCCTTGAACCTATTTGCGTAGTAGATCATGAAATAGAGGATGGGTTGTAAGACACGAGATATGGGCAAAGAAGTTTCTTTTCATGTCGTTATACATGTGATTATGTTTTGTACCACAGATCGAGCAACCTAGACGAGCATGGTTCGTTTTGACCATTTGGCTCTTACAATTTTTCCTATCGGAACCCTGTTATTATAAAGTAACTTTCTTGTACGAACACTTGAAATATTTTTGGGTAATACCCCGCCAGTATTCGAGGTTGATTGTAAAGAGGCCTTGGATACTGTTGGATTGCTCTAAGTTAGCACGATCAATTGTTGCCTCATTAAAAACCTTGCCGAAAAACCCATTTGGGAAAAAAACCGATTTAAGAGAAAAAGAGTGCAACGCGTGCTTTCATACCTAGGGCTTTGTATTGAAAGATCCATCCTAGCTCTTGATCGGACTCCTGCATGGGTTAGTTTCGAAATATAAACGAATATGTGAGGGTCGTACCTTAGCAGTAGTATTGTTTTAGGTGCGACACATTCCAATTGCTTGATAGTTGTTTGTTGTTTATAATACCGAGCTTGTATGATCCTTTTCCAACGTTTTCGAGAACCTGATATGGTTCTTCCCAGTTCGGTCCTAGTTTTCCTTTGTTTGATTTTGGGTATTGAGTGTGACTTTCCTTAGCACTAAGTCCCCGGGTTTAAAATGGCGAAGCTTGGTTCTTCGATTGTAGTATCTTTCGATTTGCTACTTTTGGGCGGCCAATTGGACGAGAGCAGCTTCTCGTTTTTCATCCGATAATTCGGGTCCAGTGTTCATAGCCTCGTTATTTGACTCTTCTGTTGTATATCGAAACCTGGCACTAGGTTCCCCGACTTCGACTGGAATCAAGGATTCAGCGCTATATACTAAGGATAATGGGGTTGCCCCCGTACTAGATTTTGATGTTGTTCGATATGCCCAAAGAACTTCAGGTAGGATTTCTCTCCATTTTCCCTTAGCGCCGTTCATCCTCTTCTTTAGGTTTTGAATGATAGTTTTGTTTGTTGATTTGGCTTGTCCGTTCCCACTGGGGTGATACGGTGTTGATAATATTCTTTTTATTTTGTGGTCTTCGAGGAATTTCGTCACTTTCCTGCCGACAAACTGTTTTCCATTGTCACACACTATTTCGGCGGGTATCCCGAATCGACATACGATATGATCCCAGATAAAGTCTATAACCTCTTTCTCTTTTACTTTCACGAACGCCCGTGCTTCAACCCATTCATTCATAAATAAAATGAACTTAGCTTTACCTGGGGACGATGGCAGAGGGCCGACGATATCCATTCCCCATTTCATGAATGGCCATGGGGATAGGACTGAGTGAAGTTGCTCTCCGGGCTGATGGATTATTGGTTCAAACCTTTGACATTTGTCACATTTTCGAACAAACTCCTTTGCATCTTTGTCCATATCGATCCAATAAAACCTTGCCCTGATTATTTTTCGGACTAATGAGTCGGCACCAGAGTGATTTCTACAAGTGCCCTCGTGCACCTCACGTAGGACGTAGTCGGTGTCTCCTGGACCTAAACATACTACCAATGGTCCATCGAATGTCCTTCGGTATAACGTTCCATCTGCAGTTAATGTGAATCGAGCAGCTTTGGTTAGTAGGGCCCTGAATTTTTAAGGTCCGATGGGAGCTTTCCATTCTTTAAGTATTCAATATACTTATTCCTCCAATCCCAGGTTAAGCTTATAGAATTTATCTCGGCATGACCTTCTTCGATCACGCATCTCGAGAGTTGAACGACAGTCCCCGAACTTATCTCGCCTTCCTCGACCGATGATCCCAAATTTGCAAGTGCATCGGCCTCACTGTTTTGTTCTCGTGGAACATGCTGTAAAGTTTATTCTTTGAAATGGTGCAAAGTGACCTGCAGTTTGTCCAAATACCTTTGCATCCTATCTTCTCGAACTTCGAAGGTTTTGTTTACTTGATTTACCACCAGCAAAGAGTCACACTTGGCTTCAATGACTTCTGCTCCCAAGCTTTTAGCTAGCTCGAGACTTGCAATCATGGCCTCATATTCGGCCTCGTTGTTAGTCAACCTAGTAGTTTTGATAGATTACCTAATAGTGTTACCCGTGGGTGGCTTTAAAACGATGCCTAGCCCGGACTCCTTTACGTTTGAAGCCCCATCCGTAAAAAGGGTCCATATCCTCGATGACGTACCCGATTTCAATAAGAGTTCTTTTTCAACTTCGGGTATGAGGGTCGGCGTGAAATCGACCACGAAGTCCGCTAAAATATGAGACTTGATGGCCGTACGGGGTTGATATTCGATATCGTACCCACTGAGTTCGACGGCCTATTTGGCCAATCGGCCTGATAGTTCGGGCTTATGCAAAATATTACGGAGTGGGTAAGTAGTTAATACACATATGGGGTGACATTGAAAGTACGGTCTTAACTTTCTAGAGGCGTTTATCAGTGCAAGTGTTAATTTTTCTAAGTGTGGATATCTAGTCTCTGCTTCTCCTAAGGTTCGACTTACATAATAAATGGGAAATTGCGTAACTTGCTCTTCTCGAACTAGGACACCACCTACCGCGATTACTGATACTGCCAAGTACAAGCAAAGTTTTTCATCTTGTTTTGGAGTATGAAGCAGTGGTGGGCTCG